AACAGATGTTTTAACTATTGAAAGCAGTAATGATATCCATCATATTCTTACAAAGGAAGATATTCAAACATTGTTATAGTGCTGGCAGGGAAACAGTGTGAATTGTCATCTCCCTGCTTATTCCACCACAAATCTGGCCCAAGTACAATATAACTAGCTAATATAACTAGACCAAGTCCACAAATTAAGTAAGTGGTTAACTTACAGCAACCTGAGAATAAAATTTTGTCTTAAGGGGTTTCATTTCTGTGCTTTCTCCTCCAGCACTGCACTAGTTCCAAATGCATTATGGTCTTTTATTTTGTCCTTGTCACAGGGCTAAAAAGTCCCTTTCAAAGATTCTGGCTGCTAACATTCACTAATGTTAACATGGTTCTGCCACATAGAATGAACAAAGCAGGAGGAGAAAAAAAAGCCTCATGCAATTACAAACAAACAGATTTTAAGAAGAAAAGGGTCAGGTTGTTCTGTTCTCTGTGCACTTGCTTTTAGATAACCACTCAAGAGCCAGGATGCGTCCTTGGGTGACTGCAGCTAAATGGAGCTCACATGGACTGTCCTTCTAGCAGCAACTGCAGCTGAAACCAGAGATTAAATCCTCATTTGCTCACCCTCACACACACCTAACCCTCAGGTCATGTTAGAAGTAACGGGTCCCAAGTAACTTTCACAGGGTCTGGGTGATGTCAGGAGCACATAACACCTCCCATGCTCTGTATACTTTGAGGATCTGTGCTCACCTGAGATGCCTGCCACCAGCAGAATCCACAAAAGCAAAAGACCATGTCTCCTCATGGAGGAGACAACCCCAGGAGAAACAGCACAAGTATTAATACCAACACTCTTGCCTTTTTGCTTGAAGTGCCTTCATGTGTAGATACACTGGTATTGCTTAACTTTGGATTTGTAGAACTGCCTTGTGTATCCACCACCTCCAACTTCATGGTTTTTCTGGGCACAAGCTCTGTATCATCATTCTCACAGGAGACTTCATGTGGAATCTTATCTGCTTTTGGAACAGTTTTCTCAGACTCTTCAGCAAATTGCACCGTGTAGGGGTAAAGGTTATTTACAATATGCAGAACTTGGCCTGGCTTCATTTTCACCACTTCATCCTTGCCAATAGTCACAAGATCAACACTAGTTGGGTTGACCCCTATCTTTGGTAGACAGAAAAAGGAAAAAGTAGTAGAAAATTATGTTGTAAGTGTAATCGCTAACTTCTGCTCAGTTCTCCTGGAATACCATTATCCTGGAAACAAATGCATTTTGTATTTACTGCCCACCCTGCCCACATCAACCCACTCTAGCAGACCAGGCAGTACAGCACTGTGGGCATCACTTTGTGTCCCAGCCTTGCAGTCACAGCTGCCAGCACGCAACCTCAGGGCCTGGTGCCACAGGGAGCCCGGGTCTGCAGCAGTTACAGTTACATTATCACTTGTGCTGCACTTCCCTCACAAATTAGAACCTATTAAACAACTAGTAACAGCAGCAACTGTTTCTGAGGAGTAACAGTAGGTTCAGCAAATTATTTCAGTGCAATCATGTTGTGATGTAGGCAACCCACAGTGGTTGCTTGATAAATGGATTTCACATCATGATGTGGGTGACCCTACAAAAATTAGGAGTCTTCAGCAAAATGCTTTTGGTTAATGTTTCTGCATAAAATGGGCTTTAGGAAATCGGCTCGCTCCTGACTGATGAACTCAATCAGAGAGAGTTTTCGTTAGCTTTGTCACTGCCATACCTGCATGCTTCACTAGGCAGTACTACACCTCTCACTTGGTACTCACTGCAAAGAAGCACACACCCAATTCCAGCCAGGATCTCTTTAGTCTACAGCTCTGCAGTTTCACTCAGGTCAAGGATGCTTCCCATCAGCGAATAAAGTATCAAACAACTGATCACTGGAACCTTGTGCCACACACCTCTCACCTGGGGAGCAACTCTTCAACAGGCAGAGAACAACCACCGGAAAGTACTCCCAGTTTTGAGATTCCAGTAACACAATATTCAAATCATGACTAGGGTAGATTTCTGACAAAAAATGTCCTAGATATCTTTGCCAGAGTCATCAGATACCCCTGGGGTGCCTGTGCTTAGTGGGCTGTGGAGGCATTTTGGGAGAAGACGTTCCCCCTCGGCAGGTAGGACGTGTTGTTTGTTGTATTGTCCTCGCAGGCTGATGCTGTGGGCACACACGCACAAACACCAGCACCAGACACCTTTCTCTTCTTATTATCTCAGAGATACTGGGTCTCGTAAGTGTGAGGGAGTAGACCTGCCTCCATCCATCTGGTGACATGAGCATTCCTGCAGTCCTGTCTGACAGCCCATCTCTTCCCACAAGTAACCACATCTCTGCCTCTATCAGCTCACCCACAAAAATCTTCTGCTACTGAGTAGTCCCATTAACACAAGAACTTCAACCTTAAACAAAGGGCTGCCTCAGCTTACGAAGTTTAAGGCTCAGGAGAAAGATAAACAAGTTTAGTAGAAGAAGTCCAAAGTCTCTCAAATGCAGCACCCAACAGAACTGACTGAAGACTCACAACAGCATTCCCTGATGCTGCAAGCCTGGCTGTCTTAGACTGGAATGTATCTGGAAAGAATAGTGCAGCCTTTCATTGAGGCGCACAAAGAAGACCGTTCACTTCTGAGGGCCACTTGCTGTAACCTCCCTTGGTGATAAGAAAGTTTCAGTGATCAGAATCATCATTTGGAGCATTTGTGGAGTTAAGTACAACTGTCCCAGTAAGTTGTACCAGAAATACTGCAGATCCATACATAAAAACATACCTGTTTAACTGTGACATAACCCTTGTTACAGTCTGCTTTTAACTGAACTGGAAAAGAAAGAACAAAGTGTCAGAAAACCATGCAAATAAAAAGAACTCTGATGAACAATCCACTGCAGAAAACACTCCTCTTTTTGAAGAGCTGTTTCTTTCTGGAGCTGATTTTTGTGGATGTGTGCCAAGAATATTTCTGCCTTGTCTCTTCTTTCCAGGACCACAGGTAAAACAGAGCCAACCCATACACTGAGCTAAGGGTAGAATTACTTCAGAACAAAGGTGCATTCTGTTGATGTCTCATACATATTCTTGACATTCTTACCAGCCCTCTGGGACAATAAGGCACAGAGCAAGACTGTGTCCAGAGGCACAGAAGATAAAGCAGGGAAGATGTGCAGTATTGTATAGGTGACAGGTACTTTGATATATTCTCCAAGATCATGTTATTTTATGTATAAAATAACAAGTCATGCTAAAAATCAGTTGGTGGAATACTAGGGAGAAGAAGTGCTGCTCACAAAGCAGGGATGGAGGCAGTGAAACACAACTGTGGGCCTGGGAACTCACATTAAGATTCAAAGCTTTAGTTTATGGAGTGGACATCCTGTCATTGGGTGTCTCTGATTTCTTAGGCCCCAGAGATCACTGTAAGTGCTTATTAAAAAGGATTGAAGACTTCAGGAACCAGGCAACATTGCAGACCACGTAAAGGAATGTGGCAAGCTCAGCTGCTGCTGCATGTGGAAAGCAGGATTTGAACTAAATCACATTACCTTGCTGCCGTGAACACTTCTTATCCGTTATCCCAGTCTCTGGGCCACGCCCAATTACCACAGCTTCCAAGTGTGGCAGTTTCACTCGCTGAGTGCATTTCTCTTTGCCCACGAGCCAGCACACACGCATCACTGAGCTACAGAGCAAAATAAACAGCGTGTTACCAACACGCCACTTGCAGAGGGGCCACCTTCCTGTGGAACAGGGTCCATGAATTCTGGTGCCAGCCCATCCATTAGCTGAGCCAATTCTGCTAACTCGGTTCAAGTTTCTGAAATTCAAAGCAAAGCATGTCACCAGCACCTGCATAATCTAAGAGCAGGTTGCTGTTGAAAGGGCAGTCCAGTTTTCCTTCCTACACTACCATACATTCTCACATCCGTGAACCATATACAGGAAAAATTGACTGGATTGACAGTTCCATCTGACAGAAGAGCCTAGCCATAAAAAAGCTCCACTGAGTCAGAGTTCACCCGAGAGATTAACTTAACCACCAAGACAAGAGAGAGCAGCAGAAGACAGGAGATGACGAGAGAGTCGGGACAGCTTCATCCAGCAACAGTCGGCACACGGACCATGCTGTGAAGCCTTCATGTTCACATCAGTTTGACCCTGGGCGGCCCAGATCCCTCACGCTGCCCGGTGCTCGGCCCTGTTCCTCGCGGGGCGGCGGCGGAGCGCTCATGCCGGCGGCCAGCCGCGCTCCGTGCCCGCTGCAGCCCCGGCAGTGCCCCACGGGCCCCAGGGCATGCCCCGCCGCGGGCCCCGTTCCCACGGCAACGCCGGGACCGACACCCCCTCCCCCTTACCGCGCGCGCGCGACGTTCGCGCCGCCGCCGCCGCAGCCAATCAGCTCTGGCAGCGCGTCTCCCACGTGACCAGGCAGAGGCACCCGCCTCGGCGCGTTGCGCGGCGCAGGCGCACTGGGCCCGCGCACCTGGGAGTGGGCACTGAGTCCTCGCAAAAGCGCAGTAGAGTGGAGCGGGCTGGGCCGCCGGCCGGCCTGTGCGGCGCGGGGCCAGGCCCGCGTAGGGAGCGGGGAGGAAAGGGGCGGAAAGTGCCGGGAAGGCGGCGGCCGGGCCGGCGTCCCGTACCCGGTGCAGCTCGGTGCCTCCGAGGGCGGGAGAGGCCCAGCGCGCAGGCGTAAGGCGAAGCAAACGCTGGGCGGGGACGCCACCGCCCGCGCCGGGCGGGGCGGGGTCCACTCTCAATACGGGCGGTGGAGGCGGGCGCTGATTGGCCAAGTGCCTCCCCCTCCCGAACAGCCATTGGTGGGTCACTCTCCCGGGCCCGGCGCGCGGCGGGGCAGGACTTCCGGGGTGGGGCCAGCTGTTTAGCGGCGGGGCTGCAGGACCGGCCCGAACTTTCCAGAAGAGTCGGGATCCCAGCAGCGCGGAGTGCGATCTGCGCCCGCCGCCCCGAGGGCCTCCTGCCGCCGCCGCCGCCGCCATGGTGAAGGAGACCACCTACTACGATGTGCTGGGCGTGAAGCCCAACGCGTCCGCCGAGGAGCTGAAGAAGGCCTACCGCAAGCTCGCGCTCAAGTACCACCCGGACAAGAACCCCAATGAGGGCGAGAAGGTCGGCGGGACGGGCCGGGGCGGNNNCGGGAGTGCTGCAGATGCCTGAGTGCCGGTGACTGTCCTTTCTGCAGTTCAAGCAGATCTCGCAAGCTTACGAAGTGCTGTCGGACCCGAAGAAGAGGGAGCTGTATGACAAAGGAGGCGAGCAAGCTATCAAGGAGGGCGGCTCCGGCGGCGGCTTCGGGTCGCCCATGGACATATTCGATTTGTTCTTCAGCGGAGGGAGGATGCAGAGGGGGGAGAGGCGAGGTAACGTGTCCGCGGGCGTATCGCGTTCTCTGAGGAGAATGTTGTAGATGTAGGAATTTAAAGAGAGTTAAACTGAAGTTACAGGCTTAATCTGAAAATTGGAGAAGACTGTTGTCTCTTATCGCCTGGAACCCCAAGGGAGGGCGTTTGGTGCAGTGGTAGTTTGGTCTCCTGTGCACTGTGCCCTGTTAATCGCTAACCAGGTGCGTTCAGAGTACCTTTAGCTGAGTGTAAGCCCAGCTGCTAGTAGACAGAGTAGGAAATGGAAGGGTAAAGTAACTTAAAACGGTTTATTAATTAAGCTACTCTAAGTGTAGTATTTAAAAGTATCTATCTAAACAAGACATGAAAATCCAGTTCAGTCTGTGAAACTTCTCTGTGTTCCTGCACTGTGTTAAGTTGAAGCTGCAGTAAAGTGCTACTCAGAAGTTGAGCTCCAGTTTAGTCACGCTGGGAGAAACTTTAATCTTGTTAAGAGCAGTGCTGACCCCATCACCTCTTAGTGCAGATCTGGTGAAAAAGGGAAGAAAAACTGTTTTGTATCAAAGTGTTAAGAGTGTCAAAGTACTTGTAACAACCCAGAGCTCAGCATCCTTTAGAAAGCTAAGCCTACAGCAGCTGAAGTGCTAAGGAGTTCCTGAGGATAAAAATATAGTTGGTCATTTCTGGTTCCAGATGGTCACGTGATGAGAGGAAGAAAGTGCTGAAGTGGAGATTCCAAACAGAGTCACTGGCTTGTTTGTAGGAGATCTGTTTGGTGACTTTGTTGAAACCAGAGGCCTGCATTACAGGTTCTGTAATGAGGTTCTGTATGTTCTGTTGCTGTTACTGTTTGTACTTTTCCCGAAGGTCTCTTCTGACTTTTACAGAGTCAAAGTCGTAACAACTGTTATCTAATATCATAGCAGCTGAGAAGGGGCTTAATACAAGCAAAACAAGACAAAGCTCTATTGAAACAAGATGTTTAATCCCAGAGACTTGGCTTATCATGGCTTGGCAGGGGGATGTGCAGACCAAGCTTCTAAACTTGAGTAAATATCTGTTCTTTTACAGGTAAAAATGTGGTCCACCAGTTGTCAGTAAGTTTAGAAGATATGTACAATGGTGCAATGAGGAAACTTGCACTGCAGAAAAATGTTATCTGTGACAAGTGTGAAGGTAATGTTGAAACTGAAACTAAAGAGATGATGTTTGTAAAGCTTTTGGGGTTTTTTTTTCTGGTAGCACATAACCACCTATCTTCAATTTTTGTTCTCAGGTCGTGGTGGTAAGAAAGGTGCAGTAGAATGCTGCCCTAATTGCAGGGGAACAGGCATGCAGATCAGAATTCACCAGATTGGGCCAGGAATGGTGCAGCAGATCCAGTCTGTGTGTATGGAGTGTCAGGGGCATGGGGAGCGTATCAGCCCCAAGGACCGGTGTAAGAGCTGCAATGGCAGAAAAATTGTTCGAGAGAAGAAGATCCTGGAAGTTCACATTGACAAAGGTGAGGTGTCTTACTGAGGTGAAGTGTTGAATGTACTGACTGACTTTGCAGCACTAAAACACAAATTTTAGCAAATATGCGGTTAACTTGGTAAGTAACAATTCTGAATACATAGTAAAATTGCTTATTGTTGCCTTACAAAAAGTAGAGTTGTTTTCTAGGGAAGGTGGACTAGCTCTGTGTTCACTTCTAAAGCCTGGCACATAACTAAGAATGAATTCTGAAACCTGCATTTGTTGTAAGCAGTAAATTATTTTTCAGGTTCCTCTAAGCCCAGTTTGTGATCAGGTAGCCTAATCAATTTTCATTGCCTGCAGCAAAACTCTGCAGACTCCGATCACTTCCACTGTGTTTCAGTGCGAAGGGGAACCAGGTCTGCTATAGTGATAGGGTGCAGAGACAGTGCTGAGCCTCTCATGCTTAGAGCTCTGTTGGCTACGCACCCCTGACAGTGCTGCCCAGCGCAGGTACTGCTTCCCTGCCTGGCAAAATGCAACTCAATACACAAACCCGCAACGTGAATGTAATGGTATTGAGTGACAAATGCATCTCTGTTGAGGGGGCTGCCCAAAAACCTGTGAGAGAAGTCTCTGGAGTAGTGCAGCTTGTAAGACAAAGCAACCTGACAAGTACCTGACTTTTACAGACTCACTCGTGATTACGACCCGCAGCTGTTACATCTGTAAGCAGAGCTTATGCAATGCCTGAATTTGTAGGGGGAATCCTACAGTGGTAGTAAATATGAGGACTATATTACTGATATTTTGAACAGGGAGGTCTTACAAGAAGGGTGTCTTTTAGAAGGAGGGCAAAAGAGACTGATAAAGCATAAGAAAGCTAGTGTTTTTGTTTTATAGACTTTTTGTGTGGGTGAAACAAGTTTTTTACAGGAGGTTTTCGATCCGTGGGGAATGCTTCTTCGACTTGGCAGGCACTGAGATGATGCTTCATAAGGAGATGTGCCACGTATTTATGAAACTGAAGAAGCTGACTGGTCAATGGCTCTTGAAAATAGAGTTTGTACACAGTGTTTCTGATTTCTTTCTTGTATTTGTGTGTATAATGAAAATTGTTTTGGTGATATTTCCCTTCAGGACTTTGTTGGTGGCTCTTTTGGCAGTACAGTTAAACTTGATGGTCTTGAGACTGAATTCAGGTTAGCACTGCTAAGATCTGTTGAACAAGTGAGTGGATTAAAAGAAAAAATAAAAAGAAATGCTTCAAGGGAAGATCCTGATTTTCTTGCTTAAAGATCCAGAGATATCTTGATACCAGCTTCATCCCTATAAAAGTGTTCATTGTTGTTGCTTTTATCTTAAAAATAAGAAAAATATTTATTTGTTTTGCGCGATAGGAATGAAGGATGGTCAGAAAATAACATTCCATGGTGAAGGGGACCAAGAGCCAGGTCTGGAGCCAGGGGATATTATTATTGTCTTGGATCAGAAAGACCACTCTGTATTTACAAGGTAAAGACTCTTGAATTCTCTTACGTTATCTCTTGTGATGTTTTTCCACATGCTTCCTTGGTTACCACTCATCTTGTAGGTACTGGAGTGTCAGGAGATAGGATCACATGACTGTCACTCAGCCATGAGTTTGGGTGGTCAGAGGAGTGCTGGAGGTGAGTTCTGGTGCAACTAGTCTGGCCACTTGTGTTTTAATAGCATGAGGTAATCTCCTGTGAGCTTTGGCAGCAGAAGGGGATAGAAAGTAGTTAAGAGTTTACAAATCTTTAATTTTAAGAAGTCGTAGAAATACTAAGATTTGTAGTAGTTTTGAATATTTGTGACTGTTTCCTTGCTTTCAATTGCTTATCTCAGAAAATTGCCATTTAATGTAGTCCACTGTTGTCCACATGGCCTGAAGACACAGAAAACTTGGAGTGTGTACACATGTGTTTGTGGATCTTACTTAGGACAAACTTACTCAGTATAGCGTGCACTTCATTTCCTGCCTGGGTACTGTGGGCACAGTAATTGGTCCTGCCTGGTTTTTATTGTGAAAGCAAAAGTGACTCAAGCAGCACTGACCACATCTCAACTATTTTGTGTTCCCAGGCAGTACTGCTTGGTGTCGCATGCCCCCCTCTTTTGTTACTGTTTGTGGAATTATACTGTCCAGTATATTTTGGTCCAGTTAAAAGCACCATTGATGATCTCACAGAAGCATGTTGCATTTTTTTTCTCGCTGCTGCTGAGAGGAGTTACAAAGGAAGTGGTGGATTTAGAGAAAGCACTTAGCACTGACCTTGTGCTTGTAAATAGGAATGGTGAGCCAAAGGTTCTTGGGAAACCTGCAGCCGGTCTGCCTGACTATCATGTATGGCGCTGAGCTCTTGAAGCTGGTGCCAGAATTCTGTGCCAGGGAACACTGAGCTCACAGGTTAAGAATCACTTCTGTTTGCTTTGCATGAGCTTACTCAGCTGATTTTTCTTAACTTCCAGTGAAACCAGACATTGATTCAGATATGCCAAACTGTTCTCATGGTTTCCTGGGACCTGAAGTCACAATTCTATTAGATTATTTTTGTCTATCCTTCTGCCCAATGCTTTCAGTTCTAGTGTCCTTCAATAACCCTTGATATTACTGGTCTTGTGGGGTTATGCTGAGGTCATGCTCTCGCACAAGTGGTATGTTCCTCCTCTCCTGTCAGAGTCCAAAATTAGCTTTGCATTCAAGTCTCCTGCCAGAGACGTTTTAAAAACAGAGTGAGTGCTCTATATCCTTCGAGTAAGAGGAAGGATTTTGTAGCTTTTGAACCTGTAGACGATTGCTAGTGTTGCCGTACTGAAGTCAGAATACAATTAAAGTAATTAACATTATCTATTCCAGATACTTCTTGGTACTTGTATCATTATCCAGAGTGGCCATCACCTGTTCAAATTTCCGTGGTAATAAATCTTCAGGGTGTAACAGATCACTGTAGTGCAAGCTAGTGCAATTAAGAAGGCATTTATCTATGCAAAGAAATGAATTAATTGTCCCAGTTTGAGTATTTATGAGGCTGAGAAATTTTGGTTTTTAATAGGGAAGGAGCAGTGAAGTGAAACTGGATACAAGTGGGCCTTACTATATTTATTTCTTTTCAGTAAACACTTGCAACACTTAAGATAGCTTTACATAATGGTAATGGCTCTCAGAGGAGGCTGTCATTCTAGTAATTGAGGAGCTACATTAATACTTGGTATTCTTTGTTTAATTGCCTGGGTTTCTGTTACAGCTTATTGTAATTTCCAGATTTTAAATATTGAAGTTGGTATGATCCTTGTACTGCTTCTCTCTCACTGTGACTGTTGTTGATTGGTTCTGCCTTAGACGAGATGAAGATCTACTTCTGTCTATGGATATTCAGCTGGTTGAAGCACTATGTGGCTTTCAAAAGCCCATCACAACGCTGGATAACAGAACTATTATTATTACCTCCCGTCCTGGTAAGAGTTGGTTTGCTTTCTGTTGGAAGTTCTAGCATACAGTGAATGTAAGCTGGAAATCTAAAGGAAGAGAAGCACCCCATACTTGATGTAGAAGGGATGTGTGCTGTTATCAAATTCTTTGCCCTAGTCTTTGCAGTACGAATCTTAAAATAAAAAAGGATTTTTGCATAGCAGTCAGCAGTAACTTTCTCTTTGCGTGACGTAGTAACAGACCTTACCTCATGGACATACTTGCATCCTGAGGATATCTCATGAGAATTGAAGGCCGTGGGTCTCTGAAAACCACTTTTTCAGCCCTGGAAGCGATGGAGCACTTAATAAATTTGTAAGTATGCTTCCTTTGGGAAGCATAACAAGGTTTACAGGAATGTAATGTAGACAACAATCTGCTTTCCTACTCATATGTTACCAGGCAGTAAGTTCCTGTTAGACTACTACATGTTGGTGTTGGTGCCTAACCACAATATAGAAAGCTACATACATATTGAAGGGAATTATAACTAAAGCTGCTTCTGTTGCTTGCATAGCTCCCTTCCTTTTTTGGTAATTTTTTGTTGTTTTTTTTAGGCCAGGTTGTTGAGCATGGGGCTGTTAAGTGTGTGTTGAATGAAGGTATGCCAATTTATCGCAGACCATATGAAAAAGGACGTCTGATCATAGAATTCAGGGTAAGTAAATCATCTCACTTCCACAGCATTCCAGGACTGAACATCCATCCAAAATTCAACCAATAAGCACTACCTCAGTCAAGAAGAGATACCAATAATCAGATATCCTATTTAGCATTTTTTACAATGGTGGGAATATGCAACTCATCAGAATTACAGTTCAGAACAAAGAAAACTTCCGGAACACTGTGTGCTCAAAGTACATTAGGTACCAGAGGAGTTTATTCAGCAACCTTTTGAATTTCCATTTGCTTGACATATTCTTTAGTTTCTTTTGTCCTGTAGGAAGGATGCATGAGTAATTTCTACTTCTGCCTGGGAGCAGAAGATAAGGTTGGAAAATGTTGATTTTCTTCTCTGGGGAGAAGCTAATACTAGGAGCTATAGCAATGGGCCCCATCTGCTACAGCTTCGAATATATTTAACCATATCTCACATCTATATTTTGTTCATATATATATTTGTGTAGTTGTGTATGCTATAATAAATATGTTGTAGTATGTGCTATTATATTACATATATACTTAGCTTTTTGTGGTTGATTCAAGAGTGCAGCCTGAGGCAGAAGAAAGGTATTGATTGAGTTGCCAGAGTTAGAAGCTAACTTCATGCAGGCATTAAAAAGCAGCTTAGTGATGCTGATAATTTTTTTAAGCTCTGAATTTAAGTAATCTATGACAACAAACCTGACTTTGGCAGGTCTTTAACCTGTAGGTCTATCTGACCTAATGAAAAAACAGTTCAGATAGACTTGAGTAACCTTAGCTCTTGATTTCAGGTGATCTTCCCAGAGAGTGGCTTCCTTTCCTCAGATAAGCTGTCCTTACTCGAAAAACTGCTACCTACAAGGCAGGAGATAGAAGAAACTGAGGAGATGGAACAGGTGGAATTAGTGGACTTCGATCCATCTCAAAAGCGAAAACACCACTATAATGGAGAAGTGTATGAAGATGATGAGCATCAGCCTAGAGGTGGTGTTCAGTGCCAGACATCATAAATGGGCCAGTGAATAACTTGTGATGCTTGTTTTGTATGCAGTAGTGGATGAGTGAAGGACTACAAGCAGTTTGCCCTCACCTGCTATTTGTTGTTCTATCCAGCCATAGTCATTTCTAAAAGCATAAAGAAATAAACTAAGTAATTAAACTGACTTTGCAATTTGTATAAAGCTCCAGTATGCAAGCTGAAATGAAGTTGACTGCACTTCACTCCTGCCTCTTGGTCCAGAAAACTCCCTTACCTGCTTGTCTTTTATTCCAAACCTTGTAATTCCTGTATGTGTGCAATTGCCCAGGCTTGAACTAAGATTCTGTGATGTGCTTTTTAGGAATTCTAGATCTTAAACTCTGTGAATAAAGTATGCACAAGTAATTATAATCCGTGGTAAGATGTAGTAAAGTTTTGTACTGGTTAGGATAAGAATGTTTGGGCTTGTACTGGTGTTTGTTAAACAGGGCCTGGCTGTAATGCACCCACATGGTAGATGAGGCTGACACAGATGTGGTCAATCTTCACAGGCCCATTAATGTAATGAGATCCCCAAGCTCTCCATGCTATTGCATATGAGGTCAGATAGTCCTTTCCTGTGCCAGCACTGGTTCTGATCCCAGAGCTAGATGTGGAGCTTGCTTTCTTTCATCAGTGACTCCCGTTTGGCTGCTGTCCTGCACTGCACTGCCTGTGGAGCCAGTGGGTGCTTGGAGCTGCCTTGGCTACTGTGCATTAGTAAAATCCTCTTGACTTTGTCAGCATGCAGGTGGCTTGGAACATCAGACTGCTGCTAGGTGAAGCTTGATTTACACCCTGATTACTGAAATCAGATACCCTTGGTGTGTTGTGGAGAGCAGTACCAGTCCTCTTAGTGGATATATGTGATCCTGCAGAGGAAACAAGGCTAGTGAATACAACCAACCACTGCATTTAGGATGTTCTGAAATGAATGTATTGTGTGCATTATTTCAAGCTGACTCTTAAATTTCTGTATGAATGTTCTAATTATTGTAGATGAAGTGTTTCCGATATAATTACAAAATTGTTCATTGCCTCTTTTCTTAGACCAGATGTTGTTTCAAAAACACCACCCCCTTCTTTTTAGATAGCTAATCACAGAAATATCTTTAAAACTGTCTTTCAGAAAATATGCTGAGAGGACAGGTCCAGATTTAACCTCCAGTGTGGTAGTTTAGTCTTGCTCAACCATCTGGCTTGAGACAGAGCTTACACTTTTCATACTGCTTTGAAGCAAAAGCGTCACAAGGAGAGCTCGGATCTAAGTAGCTGCTGCGTGGCAGTATGTGTGTTGTAACTTCAGTATCTGGAAGCTCTTAGAAAAAAAAAATCTCTAACTTATCTAAGCATTACAAGTTTCATTGTATAAAGACAGCTGCTACACCATGGATTTTGTACGTCAAATGTGGTCCCTTTCAGGTACCTACAGAACTGTGATCTTTCACCTAGTTTTCTGTTTTCTTTCTCAATAGAAATAAAATTCTGTAGGCCAAGTGTTTTTCCAAATTCTACTTGAGTGAGCTCATCAGTGAGCTGAAAAACGTGACCTGCAGGTGCCTGTGCTCTATCAGGATGGTTTGAGTCAAGGGGAGAAACAGAAAGTAATCTTCCTCTGGCTAGGGCTCACTCCTGCACAGGTGGCTTGAGACTTAAACAGCAGTAAAATAAGCTCCTTTTTTCCAGCTCAGTAAGCACCCTTGGGGTATTTTTTTCTTTAGCCACTAGATCAAAACAGAAAGGACAAACAACACACCATTCATAGCCTTGAGCTTAACAGTGGGACATGATTTTGGTTCAGATGACTGTGTATTATATTTTTTTTTTTTAATTCCATAAAGTTACTTTCTCAGGAGCACTGGTTTTCCTCTCACCACACCCACCCATAGCTGCATTGGCATAGTTGAGGTTACATTCTTGACTTACTCTGGAGGCCATGACAATTCTGCTTTGTACTTGATGATCCCATGGCAGGTGGGCTGGGTTCCAGGAGGAGGCTGCCTAACCAGGAGCTGCCTCTAAAGCTTTAGCAGAGTAGTCCAAGGAAGGATGCTCTGCTAGTGGAGGAAGGACTGCAGGAACCCTACCAGATTAGTATTCTGTTTTGAAACGAGCTGGTTACTGATACAAAATCTGTGCCCCAAACAAATACTAGCAGCAGAAGAATATGCTTTTGGCAAAAATTGCTGGATGACAAGAGCTAGTAGGACTTTGTTTTCCCGTAATACCCTGGGTATCATACACTTAGAGCAAGCAGATAGACTATTCTGTGTCACTGAAAAATGAAGTAAGATTTGTTTCCTGGCTTGTTGGTTTATGTGGCATACAGTTTCTAGTTTGGGGAAATAAACAGAATGGACAGTTGTAGAAACTGAGGATACAGTAGCACAATAGAGCTGTTTCTGTAACTACCAGTTTACTAACCTGACCTCTTGTAATCTGAGTTTGCAATTACTTCAAGTGTTGCAACACCATCTGATTCATATGATCAAACTTATGTTTTAGTCTATTACAATTATTTTTTTCACTATGCCCCAGGCATTTAGGACTTCATATTTTTCCCATAAGACTAGAAGCTCCACTATTGCACAGGTTGGCTGTGAAAGAGTCTACTCTCATTTTCGCTTTGCTTTCAGAGCCCTTAGGGTACAGGTCCTCTCCTTCCCATAGTTTTGAATACCTGACGGCAAGCAAGAGTGGAAAAGGTTGGTTCAGCCCAAGGGTGTAAACTCAGTCATCCCAAATCTGCTCTGAATTTGCAGTGTGATGCAAGGTCAAGCAAGCAAACAACTTGCCCTACGATTTTTCATTATCATCTTCACTGGGGAAGACATGTTTGTGACTGATTCCTGCTCAGAGCATTAGGAAAGCACACTAAGAAAAGTGAGGTTTGATTTAAACCACTCTTTTTGAAAACAGCACATAAACAAATGCCAAGCTTACTGTTTTGTTAGGGAGTAAAATGAGCAGTTACAGTGCCCAAAGAATGGGACTTCAACTACCCTGTTAACTGCTGTCAGGAAAACATAATAATAATAATAAAAGTAGATCCACATCTCAGATGAGTGCTAAGTGCTTTAGGTCTCTGCCATAATGGCAGGCATTCCTGAGCCAAAGCCAGTGTGCCTACTGAGACAGCCCCTGAGAAGCCTGATGCTTCCACACAGACAGAACTGGTGAGGCAGGTGTCACTACAGGCACTACGTTTCCACGGATGCCCGAAGGAAAGGCTAGTACCTGCACAAAGTGTGCACAGGTGGATGACCAGCTGCAACAGGTGGCTGAATGACAAGAGACAGGTGGCTGTGCTGTATACAGAGGGGCTAAAGCAGAGATAGCTTAGTGGGTTCAGAACCACACACCTGCAATGGATACCACTGAGCCTGAGGCACCTTGCACCCTGGGGACCCACAAAAGCATGGCTCCAATCTCCAATTCAATCTCTACTCCAACTTGCGGACCAGAAATACAGATCTGATGCTTTAAAGGCTTTAGATGTCCATGAGCACAGCCAACAAAGGGAACCTCAGCAGCAGTGCATCATAATGATACAGATTACAGATGAAATGGTTGTAGTGGGGACTCAGTTGTCTATTTGCCAGCCTAATAGACAGTACACAAGGGGCATCCTGCCCTCCAGGAGCTGGGATCCATGGTGTTGCAAAAGGGTACCCTGACCTGTCTTAGACCACTACCCCCATCACTTTTTCATATGGATACAAATAATGTCACAAGCCAAAAAATAGGTGGGATCAAGGAAGACTATAAGCCCTGGGGAGGCAGGTGAAAAATATCACAAGTCATCCCTGTGCCCAAATAATCTCCTTATCTGTCTTCCCTGCTAGAGAAATCAGGACAGCAGACACATTGTGCCGGTCAATGTCTGGGTTTGTGGCTGGTGCTATCAAGAAGGTTTTGGCTTTTATAACAGTGGGTTGTGTTTTTATAATTTTTAGATATTACAGGGAATGGGATCCCACAGCTAAAAAGGGCAGAGAGCCTTTGGCAGCAGGCTGGCCAGTCTGGTGAGATGGACTTTAAACCATACCCAAGTCATCTCATCTGTCCTCTCTATTAGAGAAATCAGGACAGCCAGAGACAGACATATGGTGCAGATCAATGTCTGGGCTTGTGGCCAAAACCATCAAGAAGGTTTTGGCTTCTATAACAGTGGGTTGTGTTTTTATGATTTTTAGCCTGTTATGGGGGAAGGGAATCCCCGGCTAAAATGGACAAGAGAATCACTGGCAGCACTCCGGCCAGTCTGGTGAGATGGACTTTAAACTGAAGGACTGGGAGTCAGGGTGCAAATGGCAACAATTGTGCCATTGCTTCCTCCTGGGAAGCAGGTCACAGCAACCACTGCAGAGTCAGATGCTCCTTGGCTGCCCCTGAAGTTGAGGATCAAAACACAAAACATATGCTTATGGCTATGGTGAATCCTCTCACATCCCTTCTAGGAAACCCCATTCTTTGATTATCCATGAAGTGTCAGTATACAAAAAGATGCAGCATGGAGAATGAAGAAGAACTAGATGTATATATGCATTCACAGGGCCATGATCTCGCTGCAGTGCTGAGACACAGTGGGATAGCTCACGTGACTGGAATAGTCATGGATGGTTATGTCCTTTTTATAAAGAACAGAGAACTGTCAGAGAAGCAAGGTGGTGGAGTTTCTCTTTATGTGAGAGAGGAACTGTAATGTAGCAAGCTCTACCCAGGGACAAATTAACAAACTGGGAGTTTGTGAGTGAGAATTGTCCAGTGTGCCCTGGCAGCCAGGAGGATCAATTCTGTCCTGGAGTGCACCAGGCACAGCATCACCAGCTGGGCAAGGGAGAGGCTTGTCCTGCTCTGCTCTCCACTGGAGTGGCCCCACTTCAAGTCCCATGGGTGCCACAGTCTAAGAAAGGCATCAGGCCAATACAGAGCATCCAAATGAAGGCAACTAAGATGAGGGCCTTGAGGGGAAGCCATATGAGGAGTGACTGAGGTCACCTCAACGTGAGCAAGAACTTCTTTTGAGGGTGGCAGAGCACTGGAACTGGACATAGACTCCTCCTCTCTGGAGATATTCAAAAGCCACCTGCTCTAAGTGACCCTGCCTTGGGAGGGGGTTGGATTAGACCTCCAGCAGTT